TCTTGTCTCAGAGCAAGGAGGAATCAGGCTTGGTCTCTCCTGGGAAATGATTATCACAGCCCTTGGAACAAGTGGCCTTTTGAAGTACTAATACAGAGCAGGCAAATTAAACACTCAAGGGTATTTTTGATAGAGAAAGGAGATGAGCAAGTCCTAATCAGCTCATTTATAATGTAGTATCAGTTATAGCGTTGTGCTTTCCCATCCAGACTAGAAACCAAAGAGGAATATTTGTGCAAAGGTAGCACAATAGATCTCTAAAAGTAAATGTGTTGAGAAGCACATATTTGCAGCAATGGGCAGGTCAGATAGCTGAGGGAAGTTGCAGGAACCACCTGATTCCCACTAGCCACTCTTCTCCACAGTGCTCTGAAAACCTGAGGCTACAGATGGACTCAGCCCCAGCAGCAGCCAGGGAATGTCCTGCTCAGTTTAGACATCACAAACATCCACTACCAACAAGTTAGTATGTGGACATAAGGCTACGAGCCCCTGAAGAAATAAAAATGTATTTTCAGCTTCTTCTTTTTCCTACCTTTAAGACAGATGAAGGCTTTAAAAACAAGTTTAGATTATTTGGTATAATCTTTACACTACTTTTTAAAATATGCATAGGTGGGTTAAAATGGAACCTTCTCACAAGCCCCTGAGGCTTGTTTCCATCCTTGGGCCAATTTTTGAAGCACAATTTTAGCATTTGTGTCAAAACCCCCCTACATATACAACAGTGCATGCTTCAGAACAGAACCATACTGCTCGCATGGTAATAACTGTCAGCTTGAGACCTACTGCAAATTTTATTCCTATAGGCATCATCTAATTAAGTAGTGTGGATAGGCAAAGTTCCAATGATACATAACTTAGCACAATCCCTGTAAAAGCAGTTTACTTAAAAGGAAGTTGACAGCAGAGAAAAGATGAGCCACAGGGACAAAAATGGACCTTTTTAATGATTTCAGAGCTGAGGTATTGCCAGATATAGAAAATGGGTAGGCAGGCCCAGGAAGAACAGACTCAGGAGGAGGCAAGACAAAGCCGTTGGAGAATAGATATGCAAATGTTCCAACACATCTCAAGTATTTACATGACTAGTAGGATATCTCCTCCGTATCCAGAGCACAGAGCAGAAATGTTAGGACCTATCAGGAACCATAATCACTTGGTTAGATGTTCTGCATTATTTCAAGGTGGTATTTTATTTGGGGGTTTCAAACACTGTAATCTGCATCAAATGGCTGTATTTTTAGCACTGAATGTTTTCTAAACAAATTTATCCAAATCCTCAGTTCACTTCTGATTTAACTGATCTGCCATTGCTTGGTTTATATTTCACCCTTCTCTCTAACAAGTTGAGCAGGAAAAGCCAAAGAGACTAAAAGACTTCAATTTCATCAGGTAATGTTAACTATGACCTCTTGTCACAAACTAGAGAGCTCTGTATTTTAAGTCAACCTTAATGCACATTTGCCATATAAAGAAAAAACCTCCAGAAGTAATTTTAATATAAAATGTTTTTATTGTTTTTGAAAACATTTAAAAAACAATTTTTGAGCACTTTCAATAAAAAAAATAACTGAAATGCTACTGCAATATTCAACTACTGTAGTTTCAGCAGTACAACAGACAACAAAACACTGGGGGAGAGGGGAGAAACTGGATTTCCTGCACTAAATGAAAATGTGGAACAGGGATTTTTCTTTCCTTACGGTGCAGTAAATAAAGCACAGTATAGTACAAGACTATTATATGAACCTCAGATGCACTGCACAAGAAACGCTTTTCCTTCTTTTCAGTTCAGAAGTCAGTGCTTATTGCAATTATTTGCAAATTATTTACTTCATGAATTCTTATCATGATCAAATGATGCAAAAATGTTTTTCAACACCAGAACAATAAAAAATAATCCAAGAAATGAACATATTCAACAATAACTAAGCTGAATTAGTTAACATAAAAAAAGTAAATAACTTGTGAATAACTATGCTCACCTGGTTAACACCGAACCAGCTTCAATACAGCAAAAGAATAAAAAAAATAAAAGTGGTTACAGGAATATATCTAGTACTGTACAAGATTAAGTCATTAACACTCATGCACGTTTTGTGATCATGTATTAACATGGTGAAGCAAACTAAACTTAACTTTTCCTGCTGCAGTATTCTCAGGTAAGAGAATAAAAAATAGAAATATCTCATTGAGATCAATGCACATTGCTACATAAGACAATTTCACCTGTCACTTTTAATGACATTTTGCCTTTTAATAATGAAACACATTAAAAAGTTTTTTTTCATTTTGCCTTTTTTTTTAATCTGTGGGCCGTATTTGTTGCATTTATCCTAAGGAATGTGCCTGCCACAGGTTCAACAGAATTTTAGTGCAATATATGAACCCAGAAAAGTTTGCTGGACTAACCAAGCAACCAAATTTAAAGTGTTTGCTGCAATACTGTACACAGGGTACAAATTCACTAGTTTGTATACTTTAGCAAAAACTGCTATCAAAATAATTTATTTCTCATGTTAGTAGGAAGCCAATAATGTAAACAAGGGGTCAGAACTGTCTCAAATTCTTAGTTTCGGAGTATCTGACAAAGACAGGCTTCCGTTTGTTAGAATCAAAGAATTTTCCTTTGGGTATTGCATACTTTGGTGTGCAGTAGTGCTCTGTCTCAATGTATCGTAAAGAACTAACTAGCACTAAGTACAGGGACCTAAGGTTAATTGTAACACCAACACACAAACATCTCTAACATGATACATACCAATGTACAAAGCTGTGCCTGTGCCTTGGATTTTACTGGAAACAATTCTTATCGAATTTAATACTTCTTAAATATATATTTGCTTTAAATCCACTGATTATAGAATATTTCTGCTGATTAAATCCCATGTTAGGCCCAATGTAATTCTTGTATTTAAAAATAGTTTTAAACGCACATTTAAAAACCTTTGGTGATGGCTGCATAATTTAGAACGCATCAGCTTTAAATCTACTCTCGCTTTGCTGACAGATCTTATTAAAAAACTAGTAGTTAGGCAAAACCTTACTTCCCCCAAGCCCACCTCAGTCGGTGTCAGCGGAGCGGAGGTGAGGCCAAGGCTCCCCACAGCACTGGCTCGTGTCCTCTGCCCTCCATCAGAGGAGGTTTCACCTATTCACAGTAGTGCTGGCACTTCACACAGGGTCAGGAAACAAAACCAAAAAGGTGCTGAGTGTCCCTCAGACCCAGTGAAGTCACCAAGGTGAGAGGATGTTCAGCACATCTCTGGCAAAAGGCCACGGGCAGGTACAGAACTCAAGCCCTGCCTTCAGCAACTTTAGTCTACAAGAAAAATGGTTCAAGTCTTACTGACAGACACCTGGCAAGGGAACAAGCAGAAGGCTACCATGCAGCTTTTAGTCTCCTCCCCATTTCCTCAACAAAACTTAGAAGAGTCACTTGATCTCAAAGCAAACCTCACTGTCACACCTCCCTGTGCTTCGAGGAGGGACTGGAACTCTCCAAGTTTGTTCCTGATGAAGTGGCAAAACGTCGATGTAAGCACAGTGAAATGAGGCCCCCATAAGGTGCTACAGCTTGGCACAACTCTTTGTCCCTGCAGAAGAGGCCACAGACTGGAGATGAACTGGGGCAAGAGCAAGAGAAGCCATGACACACCAGCACCTCCAGTGCCAATGCAGCAGCACAAGTGGAATCAGCACCGCTGAAAAACCTGACCAGGACTGGGATCTCGAGTCATTCACAGGAACTGAAGAAACAGAAGACCACCAAGACACTTGAAGAAAAACACTAATCACATGAAAAATCTGAGCATCTTCCCCTTGAGGAAATCTAGGGGGGATTTACTGCACTTCCCCCCTCACAAGCTCATGATCCCTCAATTCAAAGTAATGCAGAAAGAGGAGAAATTTTCCTGCTCTGTTTTCTGCTTTGTGTCAGGGCACAGGAACAGCAATCTATTTTATACTAGGCTTAAGGGATGGTATTGTAGCATCCTCAGTGCACCACTTCTTTTGTAAAAACCTGCCTCTGCAAGTCCTCTTGCTAGCTTCAAGGCCATGGCTGGTTAAGTACCTCTCTCTTTTGACCATTAGAGAGATCCATGCCATGCTGATAAAATAGCTCTTTTTTGGTTCAAATGAACTAGTGAGGCAGAAGTCTAATTCTCATTTTCCAGAGGGGCAGCTAAGGACTTCTAAAAAAATATAAAAATTAGATTCACCAACCCTGTCAAATCACTTTTGAAAATGGAATTCAGGCTTCTAAAACAGTAAGTACTTTTAAAAGAAGAAGCTTTGCCAAAAGAAAGATCACATGTCTTACTGTGTATCTGTAAAGTGCCTGGCAGTATTATGGCTCTGTATGAAATATTTTTAGATCAACCACATTTTCTAATATTTTAATAATCTTTTGTTTGAGAGAAAGAGAGCGAGCAAGAAAGACAGAAAGGCTCAACCTACTCAAATTCAGAGAAAATAACATCTTCCTACACCCTCCACTAGGTTAGGGAAGAGCAAACTTGAAAAATGAATCTTTAGAAACAGTATTTTAATGAGCTCCAGCAGCTCTTTCTTCGTAAAAAAAAAGAGGGAAAACATCATGTTCCATCTCCAGTATTGAAAAACAGTACCTGTCACACAACTTAGGGTGTCAGGCCTAGATTCACTCTCAGTGCTCAAAATCTTTTCGCATGAATTTTACCCAATATAAAAACACTGACGTGAGAACTAGAATATCAAGTATGTCATGAATATTAATGGATAAAATAACCACATAGATTTATTTCTCTTAAATAAAAAAAATTTAGTGCATCTTTCTTTTTCCTTGATCATTCCTGTTAGCTTTTCCCATCTCTGTGTTTTACTAAAAGTGCCAGTAGCACCAGTGCTACAGAGATTCCCCACAGTTCCCCCCTGAGCAGTGCTCAGGACAGCTACACAACGATCAGGCATCTGCATGTCACCTGGTCCACCTGTACCCACTCCCCACCACCTACCTCTGTGCAGGCACCTGCATTCCAACCTGGACAACAAAGGTCAGTAAGGATCATCTACTAAGAAGTAACGAGCAGTACAAGGTATGGAAAGCCTACTATGGAGCAGGACTTGGATCCCCCCAAAGCCTCAGCCACAGCTGCCACTGCTGGCTGGTCATTAACCACCTCCTTATTTGCTACAATAAGAAATGTTGAATGGGAAACACTATAAAATTCAAATTTTAGTACTGGCTCTTTGATAGCCCATCACCTTCAGAGATTTGTTTAAAATTGGTAAGACTGCCTTTTCCCTGCTGAAGAATGAGCAACAGGTACAGCAAACTTTTTTTAAAAATGCCACAATACATAGCAAGTGTTTCTGCTGCAGGAGGCACTTCCATTAAGACAAATACAATACGTCTGTCTTTTAGATACAGTGTGCTACATACATATTATAAAACATGATTAACCCAACATTTCAACAGCAGGATGATCCTTACTCTCCATCCACTCAAAACCTGATGCAGTCATTGAGTTAATGGATTCATTGCAGATTTGTTGAAACAAGGGGTCATTTTTTAATTCCTCCAGTGTAGCATCATCGTCTTGTCCCTGCTGACGACCTGGATCAAACAGTAGATTTGTGTCTAAAGTGTTCAGATCGTTAATGCTGCCTGAGAGCTCGGAAGACAACCTGATGTCGCTGGAAAAGACAGATGCAGCGTTATTGAGATCCGATGCCACCTGATTCACCAGCTGCTGGTTTGTTGGCAGACTGTCCTCCCCTAAAAGGTCTTTTACAGTGCTGCTAAAATCTAATTGCTGCTCTCCGATGTCTGATTGTGCTTGGTTATCTCCAGAAGAAAAACTGATCTGATCGGTGCTGCTGTTTTTCGTGAGGTAATTTGGTGTTTGGAATTCATAAACTGAAGTGCTGGAATTGATCATACTTTGTGGGTTGGCACTAGGAAAAGCGGCGGATGTCTCCAAAATCTGAGTGAGATTCATCCTGGCTGTGTAATTTGAGGGCATGTTGTTCATTCCCAAACCTCTCACTGCATCATCGCTATCAGAATCGAGTTTGTTTAACAACACGTTGGTTATTTTTTTAGTGTTTGTTTGTTTCTGAAGAGACGGGAAGGCCGTCTGCATCATCACAGTCAACGGGACCGACTGGCTTCTCTGCGCTATGTTATTGGCACTGGTGTCTGCATGGATATTAGCAAATACATTGTGAACTTCAGGGGTTACTGGACTTCCAAAGGGTGTCAGATTAGAGCGTGGTATATTGGAAACAGGGTAAACAGTGCTTCCGCTGAGATTACGCTGGCGATGGACCGCAGGGCTCACGCTGCGGCACCTCAGGCTGTTGTTGAGAGAGGAACCGGTTCCTTTGTTGTCCAGAGGAGCGGGGACAGCAAAGCCTTCCTGCTTGGTGGTGCTGCTGACAGGGGCTGCCTGGTGCTGCACCGGTGAAACAGGAGTCACGCGACCGAAGTGCGTGTCGTGGTGGCGCGGCTGGGACTGGTAGGACTGGCCGGGAACGGCGAAAGCGTGAGGTTTCCTGAAGCGATCCTCCACCAGCTCCTGGTAGCTCGTCAGGATGCCATGGTTTG